TAAGTGTTTTAGTTTTGATAGCATGTCTAAGTATTTCGGTTTTTCTTTTGCCCTTTTTTTTTTTTTTTTTTTGTTATGTTGGATTGAGCGAAAAAATTGGTTATATTCTCACCAACACGCACTTGTAAAAAATACATTAAAAATAAAATGATTAAAATACCCTTAGAACGTTAGGGGCATTTTGTTTATTTACTTTTTGTGAATTATGTTCTATAATTTTTTTTAGATGCACAAACCGTCATTACTTGATTGAAAAACAAAAGGACAAGGGTGAGCTTGTCATTCAATGAGAAGCTCACACTTCCATAGGGGAATGGAGTTACGAACTTCTCATTTTTTAGAAATGTGCACCTTTATGTTGGTGTATAAGGGTAGCAATAGGATGGGCTTGGGCTAGGCAGGGTCACCGCTAGCCCTAGCTCAATCTTTTTCCGCACAATGCCAAGCCGGACCAAACCTATCCGCAGTGGCCTTAGTCTAGCCTTCGGACCACAGTTTGTGGCCCAAGCCCTACTTTTTTAATACTGGCCTAGCAGGGCCACCCAACTCATGGCCAGCCCTAGTGTTGCAATACCTAATTGTCAAACTAGGAACTACTAAAACACATTGCAAGTTCCAGCTTTTAATGCCAAAACTTCTAGTCGTTAAACACGCCATAAAAATAGGCTTTGCAAAATTCTGTCCTCAATTGGTCCCACGCTCACATACACCCCAATAGCATTGTTTTAAGACCTGAAACTAGGTTATGAATCATCCGATACCGATCCAGATCAACAACATATGAATATATAAATGATATCATAATGAGAGGAGAGGGAAGATCCAAATCATCCACCTACCACACATCGGCAATTTCCGACCCAGACAGGCACCTAACCACACTTTTCTTTAGGACAAGACCCTTTTAGTGAGAAGAGAATGAATGCCCATGCACGAGTGTGTGTGAGAGAGAGAGAGAGAGAGAGAGAGAGAGAGGAAGGTGGATGTACTACGAACGTCTTACGTAGTCGTCTCGTGGTAGGAGTGTTGTTACGTTTACTTTCGTTACGCTAGTACGTTTTAACTTTAAATCGTC